GGGTCTTTGAAGATTTTGAGCACTACGTCAAAATGTTTATAGTCAGCCCAAAAACTTATATAATTAAAAATTAATTTTTGTGCTTAAAAATTTTCACATAAATATCTTATTTTATATTATTATAAAATAGTAAAAAATAAAATAATGAAATAGTAAAAACAACTTTTAGTACTACAAAAGTTGAGCTTAGATAGTATATACTTTTTTTAATTGAAGATACTTCAGTATACTAAACTGTTATGCTGATTATTTTAAGGCATTGTTTAGCGATATTTTCTCTGCCAAAAAATAATGCTTACCCATATATATGTTTTTTTTTGCACCGATATGTCGACTTTAGTTTATAGTCATCTTCAGAGTACTAAAGATTATTTGATCATTAAAACAATAATCTATTAAAAATAATATTAAAATGAATTCTTCATTTAGTTAAGTTGAGATTGGTTTGAGATTTAATTATTGATGTGTCGTAAAGTATTTTGAAATGTTGAATTTCCATAATTAAGAACAAACTTATCATATCTTTAGATTTTCTGTAACAAATATTTTCTCATACATTTTGTTATGAAATCTTCTTCTTAGTGTCCGTTTCCCTTATTGGGGCATAGGGCCGTAGTAATGGATAATGGAATTAATAAGCAATAATTTATTTAAATTCTGTTTAATAAAATTATTACTTCAATTGAGATTATACACTATATTCATATTACTTTTATAATAATTTGAATTGAAATTTGAAATCATTTGCCTAATTATCTACAAATTGATATGAAGTATCTATTTATTTTTTATATATTGAATTGGATTATATTTTAATATATTTATGCATTGGAATGAAATGTTTATCATTTAACGTTCTATTTATGTTTTTTATGGTTTTATTTTACAATTTTTTGAACTACTTAAAAATGCTGATTTCGGTTTATGTCATTTCACATTGATCTAAAACGTGGTATTTTAATGATTATGTAGTATTTGTAAATATCACACAAATGACTCATAATTATAGAAAATGATGTCAATCTATTCGGCTATAACCAGAAATTTTAAATAAGGCACAATAAATCCAAAAAAAAAAAAAAATTGATGGTTTATTCAATTTTTTATTTTTTTACTGATAATCTGTTAACTTTACTGAATTGTACAAGTATTCTGTTCTTCTGTACATTTTCTGTTAAATGTATTATTTATATATGTTTATACCATATACTATTAGTAATTAGTATTCATCAAGTAAGGCGCAAACTTTGAATCTACGCATACTTTATGTTAAGGTATGTAGTTTATACCGGTGGGATCCACTGAGGCCTATTGTGGTACTGTATATTGAAAAACCCAGAGATTAGAAACACTAAGAACATTTAGCAAAGCTTATAATACTGTTTAAGCTTGGGTCTTGCAGTTGACCTAGATCCTCCAGAAGTAGTAAGGTAGCGCGCATCATGTGCTGGATAGAAACAAAGCAGATGGGAGACACTTTCATCGTCCTCTCCACAACTGCAGCAGGTATGATTGAAAGGTGTATGTTAAACAAATGTTTTAATTTCATTGATCCCATCAAAAAAATACATAAAGGATAAAGCCCTGAAATTATTTGCTAGGGACCTCAAGAGTGATTCCATCAAAAAATACATGAAGGATAAAGCCTTGAAATTATTTGGGAATGCTGACAGACTTAACAATACCGCGTTATCGAATCTCAGAATAGTTACAGGCACCTCGGAAAGGTATACAGATCTGAGATCAGTTATTGCTTAGTCTGATGAAGTGATAAACAATAATCCAGTCAAGGCGTAAAGAGGTGTTTTTAAGATACCTCGAGTTAATAAAGAGTAAAAGTGCCTAAGTGCACTGGCTCGAATAGCTTCAACATAACCATTGTGCAACTTTTCTTTTCAAAGCTGACATGGCTGGATACCTTGCAGTTATAGTTCAAAAATTTAATTCGGACAATTCAGCCAATAAATATTTTAAAAGCTCAATGATGGTGGATATTTGACAAAAGAACTATATATTAATTTCAATAGATGAAAAATCAATGTTTTGGATTTAAAAATTCGAACTTATTTTTTTTATTGAATTTCTTGTCAGTAGACAAAATAATTTCATTTCTATTCGAACCCTTCAAACTTGCAAAAAAAATTAAATTTAATTATTTTTCAAATTTTAGAATGTTTATATTATGGATGTGACTTTTGACATTTTTTAAAAAAATTTTGTTAGGTTTTTTTTTTTGTTTATAATAACACCGAAAATGGTCCGAAGTAGACGGAAATATCTGTTAAATAAATATATACATAAGTTAACAACCGTGATATTTTTTATTTAAACTTAAGTTTGTTTTATGTAATATAAGTTATTATACGACCTAAAGCCTGACAAAATTTAAATATATTTTTTGAATTTTTTTATAATATCTTTATAATTGGATATTCTTAATTCTTACTATAACATTCATAAATCTATTAAAAAAATTATAGATAGCAAATATATTAAATATTTTCTATATTATTAATTGTAAATAAATAAAAAAATAAAATAGAATAAAAAAAATAATGAATACCAATATTCTTAAAAATAATACCATCCAAATAAATTCATTTATTACGTGAAGTGAATATTAATGTAGGGGATTTTTTTATTTACGATGTGAATGTAAATAAATTAGGAAGTTATATTAAAATTTCATTAAAAAAAGTATAAAGTAGTTTTAGAATTTATAGAATAAATCGATTTAATTAGAGTTATTAAATTTAAATTAACAAAGCCTCACGTTTTCTTTAATTTATGTGTCTACTTATATAGCTTATATAAATAAAACCATAATAAAAACTTTGTAATAATAATAATAATATAAATATAAACAGATACCTATGTATATAACATATATATTAACTGCACGTAACAGTCAATAACTTTCGATATTTTAATATTTTGTTTGTGATTTTTGAAGTTCAGCTGAAGTTCGCATTTTGTTTTCAAGTTCGTCTCATTTATGGACAACCAAACCTAATAAAAATTTTTTTAAAAATACTGGTTCGAGGTTCAAAACAAAATGTTTACGGTTTATTGAGTAGTAAATTTGAATTTGAAATTATTTTAATAGCAAGTGTTTATTTAAATATTTAAATTATATTATATAAGTATATAATACATTATAATGATATTTTTACGGTAATCAAGGCAGTATGTACAAGTCTTTCTACTACTCATACAGTGCAAGTTACGGAAATTAGATTCATATATGTATTATTACTAACAGAAATGATTAGAATATATTTAAAATATTTATTATAAAATTTTTGAAATTAATTTTGTTTGTATAAATTTTAAATTTGTAACAAAATTTATTAATTAACACTATCGTGCATTTGTTGGAACAGATACTGCATTCACTTTTTTCTTTTGCTATCTTTAGATTTCCAACAATTTTTCCTATTATTTAAAGATAATGATTTAGCTATAATTATTTAATCATCCCATTAAGGCCCCAAAATTTATTTTAAATACGCATAAATAAATTGAAAGATATGTTGGGTTTTAAAGAACTTGTTATATGTTAATCATTCTTCCATGGATAAAATATATTGATATATATTATAAATATATATATGATATAAATATCACAAAGAAGTTACAGATTGTTTAGGCTTAAGTAAAAAACTTAATGTAGCTTAGTAAATAACTAAGTTAAAAAGGCAAGAAAAATTATTATATATTTGGTCTTTCAAAGAGAATTTATTTTACATTATTATTAATCATATTTTCAATCAATTAATCACATTATAAAAATGTTTTTAACTTAAAGTAACTACACCAATAAATAATGCACTTTTTTGTTTTTATTTTATATTAACAATATAATATTTTATTTTATTTGTTTTATTTTATATTTACCATATATTAGCAAATATTAAAATATTTATTTAAAAACAGGTTTTAATATCGTGTGGGTTAAATGCTAAATGTGGTTCCAGCAACAAACCACAACTTGGCACATCTTATTTTAACTGTTATTAATTTAATTAATAAATTAATTTAATTTAAATTTAATTAAAAATGAATACTTGTAAACATTTTCAAACAAATTATTAAAATGTCTTTAAAGATATTTTGGAGATGTCCCCTAAAATTTGAAAACATCAAACGTTTTGCATGTTAACAGAACGCAATATCTTCAAATAGGGTAGAAATAGAATAAGAAGCTGTTTTAAGCGATTGTGTGCTACCTGTCATTGTTGTGAATAGATTTTGAATAACTGAATGCTTGAATTAAAAAAGAGTGTTAGCGTATGTGTAAAAATGTGAATAAATCAAATGAATAGCAACTGAATATATTCAGAACAATTTAGTTGAAAACTTCTAATGAACACATTTTATTTGGCATTAAATATAGCATTGGAATAACGAAGAGTACATTAGTATTATTTTGTATAATACAGAACTGATATAGATTTTTGTGCTTCTTTGAACCTTTGTGCTTTTGTTCATAATGATTGATTTTTTAAGGAACCAAATTATTATATTATTAAAAAAATTAGTTGACGTAGTACTAGAAATTATTTCAATCAAGTGAATCAAGTACTCACACTTACAACCATGTTGTATTTTTAACAACTTTGCAATAAGCTTATAAATCTTTTTTTGGCAATTTGAATTTTTAACTATTTTGTCCAGCCTCTTTTTTTTATTAATCATTTGGTTGAAGCAACTTGCATATAGTGGAAATAAGATTTACAGTTAATATAATTAAACAATTATAATTTAATCTCTTTTATAATTCAATCATTTATTGCGTTTTTATTATTTATTTCTAATAAATAATATGTAGTAACAATAATATTTTTAACATAAACTGTTTTATTAATTATTTAAATTAAAACTTTAGTATTGTCTTTATAATCTTATAATACTAAAACATTTTAATTATTTATTTAAAAATTAGAATGATTTTAAATAAACAGAAATCTTAATATTAACTTCATTTTTTTTTATTTTAGTTAATTTTAAAATAGTTATAAAATGTCCTCTTCTACGGCCGATCAAGAAGTGGTCGTAGCATCCCCAGTCGACGCTCATCCCGTACGAAAAGATCGAAAACTATGGCGCGATTTGACCGCTTATTGGATCTTGGGCTTGTGCAACAACTACGGCTATGTGGTCATGTTGAGCGCGGCACATGACATTATCTCACAGTTCCACGTAAATAAACTAAATAATAAAATAATATAATATTAACTAAAAAAACATCATGTAGGATAAAACAGATGATGATGACGAAACCGTTAGTAATGGTCGAAATTGTCATATTGTATCCACTGGAGCTATTTTATTAGCAGATATTTTGCCATCACTTTTCGTCAAAATTATTATGCCTTTTATACCGTTTTGGGTGAAGTAAGTAATTTCCGAGTATATTACTTCCTAAAATATTTTAATGAATTTTTTTTTTTAATCTCAAAGTTTACGTATAGCAACTGCTGTTGGCTTATCCGCTGCTGGTTTTCTATTAGTTGGTTTTGCTGAAGCCGAATGGATGGCTTTATTGGGTGTTATAGTTACTTCTGCTAGTAGTGGAATTGGAGAAACAACATTTTTGGCCTATTCCTCACTTTTTGATAAGTATGTGTGATTTTATTGTGATTTGATTAAAAAGATTAATGTGATCATAAAACACTTTTGATTTATAGAAACGTTGTCTCTACATGGTCTTCCGGTACTGGTGGAGCTGGTGTTATTGGTTCACTTTCTTATGCTATGCTACGTGGTCTTGGTGTTAGTGCGCGTGATACAATGCTTATTATGTTAATCTTTCCCGTTATTGAGGCACTTTCATTTTGGATGCTACTTAGAAAACCGATAATACTACCTGTGACAACAGTGGAATCAACTGAAGAACTAATAGCAGATGAACCACCGTTGGAAGGCTTCAAAGAGAAAATTATGTACATCAAACATTTGGTAAAATATATGGTGCCACTTGCATTGGTTTACTTCTTTGAATACTTTATCAATCAAGGATTGGTAAGCATTATTTTATATTGATAATTGTAGTTTAATTATTTCACATTAAATATTTTCAGTTTGAGTTGGTATTCTTTGACAACACTTTCTTGGATAAAGATGCACAATATCGCTGGTTGAATGTAGACTATCAAATTGGTGTCTTTATATCACGTTCATCAGTTAATCTCTTCCAACTTAACAAGATTTGGTTGATGTCGGTGTTTCAATTTGTCAACGTCGTTTATTTCCTCACAGAAGTCATTTACTTCTATACACCAAATATTTGGATTGTCTTTGTCATAGTGCTTTGGGAAGGTTTACTGGGTGGTGGCGCTTATGTAAATACATTCTATAGAATGTCAAAAGAAATATCGCCTGGACGTCGACAATTTGCAATGTCTATGGTTGTGCAATCTGATTCATATGGAATTGCCTTAGCAGGATTCCTAGCCATTCCAGTACACAATGCGATTTGTTCCCTGCCTGCTGCTGTAAGAAGCGTAGTTTGGTAGTGTAAATATTGTACTAGCAAAATGAACAGTAATTAATTTAAATTTAATTAGTATAATTAAATACATCAAAAATATATTTTAAGTTGTTATGTATTCACAAAAATTCATATTTATTAAGTTTAATTAAATAATGCAGAAGATTCAGTATGATTGATATTAAAGAATTTAAAATAATATTGTAAGACTGAACTCTGATTTTTTGAAGTGTAAATTATTTATTTTTAAGGATTTTCTAGTGTATTATAGTATTTTCATTAAATGTGTAAACAATTTAAATAGTATTGCTTTTCATGAATTTAATAGTAAATTTTAGTTATTATTAATTACTTTAATTTAGCATATATAATTTTGTTATAAAATCAAACTCAGGATATGTTGTGAAAAATATTGATTACATATATACTGGTATCTATAAATATTCTATTGTATGAGTATATAGTGTATAATCGAATCTGTACATATTAATGAATATACTGCATATATCTAAATCTGTTGTGTATTAAATAAAACCAAATATAAATAGTTATAAAGCTTCAAATAAATAAAAATTGTCCGATATTTAAAAAGCATCAATAATTGTATTTTTATTGAATACCATTTATAAACTAACGTATCAATATATTATGTATATATTGACTAAAGGTATTGAAGTTAAATTAATAACTAAGGCAGACAGTCGATATAAAAATAAAATCGATTAGTTCCAAAAGTATGTAATAATTATTATCATTTTAAGTAAGTATATATACTTTCAATATTTTGCATAGATTACGATATATAATATAAGACAATATAATTGCCTTCATGGATTCAGAAATGTAGAATAGAAGGCTCTCTAATTAGATTTTATTTATCACTTAGGAAATAAACTTTATTGTGCTATTAGAAATTGATTACCTTGCTTACTTTCTTTTTGCAATTATGTCCCATAACCTTTTAGAGAAGAAAAAGAGGGCAACTTTATATTGATCGATTGAGAAATTTATTTCGTTGATCGGCAAATTTTTAAAATAAATTTAATGATTAAAAATAATAAATATATAAGCATATATAATGTAAACAACTATAGACGAAATGTTCTTCAGTGATTTTATGAGCAGATAAAAGAACTCATATTAAACAATATGACTACTCATATATAGAAACGGTTATAGGCCTGTATTTAGACAATTACCGACAACATTTTTAAATTCTTAACAGTTATAATGCATTCTATATGAAAATTCTTTAATTTTGGTTCTAGTCACTCACAACCACTACCAAGCTACGTGCCTGAAATCTGGGTGTAACAGTCATGGTTATGTAAAGTAATATATTATTTACCTATACACTTAAATAAAAATTAAACAATATCAATTAAAATATTATTAACATAATTATTAAATTTTATTCTAAATTATATATACTATGAGATTTTCTCAAGTATTTTGGATTTGTGTTTATAAATAATTTAATTTCTTTTTTATTGCATTTGTTTATTTTTTCATTTCTAATGTTATTATCTTCCCCATCTATATGTGTATGCAATATTATATCACATAAGATCCTACCAATGTCTGGTATTTATAATATTTGTCGACTACTAATTACCTACGTGATACTAGGGGCAACGGTTGCTTATTAAATAATTTATTCGTATTATAATTATTCGCTACAGAAAATGTTTGAGATTGTGTTATTATCGGCAGTATGATCTTATTGTTGTTAGTACCTAAACCAGAAATCTTACGTTACCAAGGTGTAGATTTGAAGAAAAACTCAAGATGGCTGTACACTATGTTATGGTTGTGGTAGACTTGTAGGTTGTCAAAAAGAGGTTTGCTAAAATAGGGATTAAATCAAAAGAGCAACCCCCAGGTTGATAGGTATGTTAAGTAGCATAAAAATCTGTCATACATACAGGTTGTTCATAGAATTTATTTAGGCATCAGTTTACTCCGACACTTCGATTCTAGTAGAAGCGATAAGTGAATGTGCGATCGTATGCAGCTGTAGTTCGAAGGGTGTCTACCTATAACGGTGTTGTGGCTAGTCATTTGTACAGATGTTAAATGAGAACAAATGAGAACTAATCTTAAAAATAGGAGAAGCAAAACTCTTTACTCAATCACATCCAGTTGGGTCAAACGAAAAGTGTTGGAGTACTCCTATTCTATCTCTGCTTGATACTAGAAAATCTACAACATTTTATTTGAAGAGCTCATTGTCTTGTATTCAGTAATTGTCAGGTTTTGCTTAACTCTGCTGGTGTCAAAACCTTATTAATTTCTATTTTTTTTGAAGACTTAAAAATTTGTGATAATAATAAGTTATCATTTACTTCTTGAAATTATAACTTCGATATTTTAAAATAGCAAAAATTTAAGCAATTTCTTTGCGTAGAGATACAAGAGCAAGTCAAGAAGGCTTTGGAAAACAGTCAAAAAATGCCAGCAGCGTTATTTATAATGCCTGTAGTAATTAATGAAAATAAACAATCTTTGTATTTTTTTCCCAAATGGTAAAATATCAAATTTTTGAGAAGTGATCACATATCTCCATCTAAAGACCAAAAGAGATCAAAGTCAATTTATATATTGATAACATTATATCTGAATCAATCTTTGTGAGTAGGATGGGTAAATGAATTTAAAGAATATCATATATCCAATTGTGATGCATCATATTCGTGGCTTCTATTATTATTAAATAATAGGATATGAAAGCACCCCGACCTAAAAGATCTATTGCGTGCTTAAAGGCCGAACTAACACAATTCTAGACTATTTATAAATCTCGTAATTTCTATTTGATTTGGGACTAAGATCCCACTTCCAGAGTATTCGAGTCTACGTCTTGCCTTTGGGCAGTTCCATAGGAAATGTTCTGATGTTTTCTACTCCTCATGACTGAATCGACAGGAAACACATTCTACCGCACTTATGATCTTCATCGGGGCTTCTAATTCAGAATGTTAAACTAAAAATCATCAAAATGTGCGATATTGTTTTGACTGACCCACGAGTGAAAGTTTTAGAGTTTCTTAAAGCCACAAACATGTCTCGTGATGTGATGATTTTATGTTTGCATATATATGGTTGCTCATTGTGAAGCATAAAGTGAATTGTATTACTAATTCGAAATAGTGTTAATTAATTTTATTACTATTCGATTAAATATAAACTGTTTACCACATCTATTATTAAATTAACTAATCACTCTTTACAAAATATTTTCCTTGATAAAATATGGTAATATGTTAAGTTGCTCCATAAAAGGTACTACGTTCCTCGTTAAGATGAGAATATAAATAATATCAAACCTTAAAGATATCGTTTTAAATCAAATGAGTACATTAAACCGGTAATTTGTCAGCGAATAAATATTAAAAACTTGCATATATGCGAAATATATTTTTAAAAAAGTTTTATCTTGAAAAAAAAATATAATTTATATACTGTTTATTTCATGAGAAATTGGTTTTGTTTTTAAATATAATTTAAGTATATTTTTAACATCTATTATTTAAATTCAAATTACTTTCAACTCAAATTGCAGTCAAGCTGGATGGCTTAATACTCCAAATGTATGTTGAAAATATTCAAAATACCACCATTTCACTACATTATCGGCACAATTTAGAATATCCCTCAATTAGAAAGCAAATTAGATCAACTCGCACACGCCCTTAGTTACAAATATCTAAATGCATTTAAATGATTAGAAAAAACTTAACAAATGCTTATGTTAATTAATATTTATTAAAACGACAAAAACATAAATTAAAATTTTTTAATTTATGACAAGAGATAAGAGACACCTTCTACGATGTTATATATAAATATATATAATAAAATGTTATTTTTAATACTTTTTTATCAAATGTCAACTTTTCAATACAAATTACAACAGAAATATTCAGTAAAATATTTTAATATATTAAAATTTAAAAATATTTTTAAATGCTTAATTTTCGAAATCGCATTAGACTAAGCGAAAGTCAATAGAATGCAGTTTTTTTTATCTTTACTGAAAATTGTTACAAAATATCATTTGCTTTAAAGAACCACGTTTCGGAAACCATAACTCCAAAACTTGTTCTCTAAAAAAGGTTTACTAATATGTTTTCTTATAGCATTTAAAACGAATTAATCCTCATCGATTGACACTAAATATTTTTTTTTTAATTTAGTTGATTAAGTTTATCATATTTAGTATAAAAAGGTTAAAATAAAATTAATTTTTTAATTACTTACACTAGTGAGCAAGAAAAAAATTGGTACTTTCGCCTTTCACATAATTATTTATTAAATAACTAATCATTTTTATTTACTTTACTTTACAAAAAAAAAAGTTTTTATAATAACCTTTTATTATGTTTAATTAATGTTTAATCTTTTATTTGTATTAATTATTATTAATAGATTAGATTTAAGTTACAAATATTTATTATACGACAAAAATAAAAAATTGAGATATAAAGATAGTTTTGTTTTTCCAGTACTCCCCATCTGAGTACACTTTAAATATTTGTGTAAACAAATTATTAAGTTATTATTAATTTAATTAATAATTACATATCTCAAGCATGTCATTAAATCGATTGATGGCAATATACTTGCTTACCAATTATTAAATGAGATATCATTAAACTATTTTATTCCACAATTACTTTTAATGCTCCAATTAAGATGTGATCTCATATTTAAATGTAAAAAAAGAGTGTGAACGCTATTATAATTACTTTTTAATATTATATTTACTTTTATAATATTATACAAGAAATACTAGTACTTATAATCTGTGGTTAAAGTTACTGATGCATATTCTACTACGTATATTAATATTTTTTGAAAGAGTATAGCTAAAACTCATTTTTTAGACCTAGTCTAAATCTATTTGTAAAAGAAAAATTTAACCGGCCATTATGATGAACCAAGGTTCATAATAATAAACACAGCAGACTATAAAGTAGCTATGATAATTAAATATAATCAGGTGGCATTGAAATTAGAGAGGGAGTTTTAAGAAAAATTAAATACACTTACACATCAGAAACATGTATGGATTGTATAGGAAACATTGCAGTTGTAGATAATGA